TTTAATTACTAACCATTGAAATACTAACTTAGATATTGCTTTTAAAAGCTAAATGATGGAGTTCAAGTAACAGATGTTGACTTAAAATATATTTAAATATGTAAAAATTACAGTAAATTGTTTCAAAAATTCCAGTTAAAACCATTTTACAGTGTTCTTATTGGTTATATTTGAGTAGCCAGCGCTAAAGATGTCATTAACAACCGTTTTCTAAATCGTTCCACCACTTCTTTGGTCCCTTCAGGTTCAAACCAGGTGCATTAAGTAAAATCAAACATGCCGCTGCAGCCGTGATGGAAATACCTGAGGAGCCGGTTACACTTGTTTTCTCTGGCAAAGCGAAGGAAATTTTACGAAACGTTCTAAATATAAAGCAGCTTCTCACTCCATTAAAACTTCTGGCAGTCTGCTGCGACTCTCAGGTGTTCAGATTACTGTAACTCCTGCTCATTAAAACCCAGACTGACTACATGTGGGCCTCCTGACTGTCACTGCAATCTGACTGAACGTACGATGTTTGCGGATCGTTTTCGGCGCATAACGATCCTTACTCCCAGCTTTAATCTCGCTTCTTTAATGTCGCGCCGTTTAATTTGATTTCACGGCAATTTGACCACTTATCCTGTTAAACAACGGCAGTAAACCAAAGTGGCGCAGGTGGTTTTCATCTCCCGTCGCTCGAGTCGTGCCGTTTCTGTCTTTATTCGCTCTAATGTTCGTCAGGTTGCCCCCCACCACCACCACCACCAGCACCACCACCAGCACCACCACCGCTGCACATTTCTTCACACCGTTGCAAACATGTCGGCTCATGGAAAGTCTGAATCGTGTTTTCTGGCCCCGGCTGCAGGGAGCTCGCCGCTCGGAGGCCGGCCGCGCTGCCATAAAACCTGCTGACTGAGGGCTTTGCATGCTTCCCTTTGGCTCGACGCGAGTCTGGAGGAAGCAGCCAAAGCCATACGTTTTACTGCACAGTAGTGCGTCCAGGACTTTTGTCAGCGGTGAGGTAACACGAGCAGAACATGTGCATTCTGAGCCCGAATCGGAGCCAAAACCATTATGAAATGCTTTTTTATGGCGTGTTGTGGCCTTGTTAGATGTCAGAACGTTATAATTGATGAGCAGACACTTCGGGCGCTCATAGGAAAAGTATTTGTGAGTCTGTTGACTGTTGAGTCCGACTGATTTCATGCGGCGAAATGCAACTTTTTGCGCATATTGATGTATTTATAGTTGGAAGCAGTTATCGGCCTTTTATGAATTTAACGTCCACATCTGCTTTGCATTACTTGTCAATTATTGATGCATTGAAGAGGACGAAAACACCAGTTTGTTGATGCAATGCAGCGGTCCTGCCATAAAAACAACCTCAGTTTGTAGAAAGGACTTTGCTTGAGCTTTACTGCTGCAATCCGCCTCGTTTAAATGTATGGAGACTTTTAATTAATTCACACTAAACACAAAATGCAGCTGAGGCTTCGGGGAAGGCTATAAGTTCTGCGGGTGTTTAGGATTTAACCATTGGACGAATAAACTTT